GGACTGTGAGGGGGAGGGGGCCTGAGCCAGCTGCTGCTACTGCCTGGGACCCCCTCAGAGACAGCTGATAACGGTGCCTGAGACACTCCCTTCTACCTGCTTCACATACAACAGAGAGTTTGATCCTCAGGAGGATCCAGTGAATGAGGTGCTGTCATCATCCCCACTTCACAGATGAGAAAACTGAGCCACAAGTAAACACATTTCACAGCCAATATGCTCACATGCAACATTCACAACTCGCAGCCCCCCAAGTTCTTTCCCACTCTCCTCTCCAACACAGACGAGGGACAGAGGCCTGGATGAAGGTGACCACGAGGCTGTGGCCACCCCAGGGGTTGGGAAACCCTGCTCAGAGAGGAGGCGGCAGCCGTGGCCAGGGCAGACGGCAAGTGAGGATGCAAACCTGGGCTGGGATTTTCCCAGAGCCAAGCTCATTCCTATGGCACTGCCAGCCCTGAGACAGGAAAGCAGGCCAGCTTCTGCTCTCACGCGCAATCTGTTCCTCGGCCCCTGGCTCTGGGGCTTGGCCCCTGGGGCTGCTCTTAGTGACCCAGCTTCCCCAGGGATAAAATCATCTTGGTTTCCAAGACTTCTATGCAGCAGCCTGAGGGACCGTTCTCAGCAAGTACAGAGACTGGAGGCACCAGAAGCTCCAGCTACTCAAAGCTGCACCTACTCAAAGCAGGTGTATCCGGGCTTCTTGGGAATCCTGCAGGAGTCTAGCATGTGTCTCCTCACAGGCCAGTACTCAGAGACGGTGTACACCTGGGCTTCTTGCCTCCAAAGTTTGGACACAGAAACGGGCCAATTTTCTCAGAGCTTTGTAAACACACACCGTCCCTCACGGCCGGGAACGCACTTTTGGTTTTGCGACACAAACTGGCCTGTCCCCTCACAGCCTCGTACACACTGACAGACCTGTCCCCTCACAGCCTTGTACACACCGACAGGCCTGTCTCCACAGGACCTGGCCTCCAAGGGCCAGGGCAGGAGCAAGGAGGTGCATCTCTGAGTCAGAACTGAGGCCTCATTAACTCACTGCAACTGTTTATGCTTCCACACCCCCAGGAATTGGCCTCAGGGGTGAACCACCCAAACCAAACAGGGCCAGCCTCCCCAGGGAGCCCTCAAGGCTGCAGGCTCTGCTCTAGCAGATCCTGGGAGGGCTGGAGCCACCTGTCCCAGCAGCTCAGAGCAGCCCACCGCACCCTCCTTCCTGTGATGGGGGATGCTGGTCCTCCTGTGGGGCCCCAGGCTCCTCAGAGCCCCCTGACCAACGCTGGCCGAGGGCAGGAGGCTGGGAGGAAGCGCAGACCTGCCCCGAGAGAGAGGCCTTGTGCGTCAAACCCTGCTCCCCTTTTTAGTGGCCTTGAGACCTTGGACAAGTGACCTGTACTCTCTGCACTCAAATTTCCTCATCTTGGAATGTCAGTAACATAGAACCTGCTCAGTGAAATGAGAAAATACACAAACCACGGTGCCCAGCACCGAGTAAGCCCCTCCGTGATGGCGTGTGAACGTGCTAATGTTCTGAGCTGAGGCCACTAAAACAACGGCATCACGGGATGGAACTGAGATCGGCAAGACTATCACCTAGATGTTTCATTTATACTCTGCCTTGCTCCACAAAGCCAGTTGAGGCTGATTCTATAGCAGAGTTTCTCACCCTTTTTTTCATTATTGGCCCCCTTGGAGCCTTTTTTGACACGTTTCCCCCTATTCGCCCTCCTCTTTGAAGTGAAACAGTGAAGAATAAGATTTTGTTAAGCAGGGTTGAGCTTTGGAGGGCCACACACTATTGTAATAACTAAGATTTTTTTAAGACCCAAAGAACTAATTTTGGTCCCCTTAGGGGTCATGTTGCTCTGTTGGGAATGCCCCAGATCCCAGCACAACTTGATAAAAACTAAACAATGGGAACCCAGGATTTAAGAAAAATGTATTCTGTACATGCACTGTAGCTACAACATACAGATATATATTAGAGTAGGGGATAAAATGGCAAAAAGGACATTTAGAAAATTTAAAAATTCAAGCTGAGGTTGTGAGATTTCTAAATGTCCTAATTTTGAACTTCTATTGATTTTTTCAGTGAGAGACAGAAGAAAGAAGAGAAAATAAACAAAGAAAAGAAAAGGAAAAAACAAAATGGTAGATTGTAAATACAGAGGGAAGAGAGTATCAGTCAAGTCCTGAGTGGGCTGAAGAGTACAAACCTCAGAGTCAAGCACAGTGTAATCAAGGAGGAGGTGGGATGGCCCCACAGGTCTGGACTGAAATCTGCTGTGCAACTAGCAGTAAGTCACTCAACCTCTGGAGCCCCGGTTCCCCCATGCGCTGAATGACAACGAACTGGAAAGCACCTAGCCAGGCCTGGCACATCGTAGGTACACTCTAACTTCATGAGTTAAGTGAACACTTGCTGGAATCTATTCAGACCATAGGACAAGTAAGCTACCAGGATTCGAATCCAGGTCTTACAGTTTGTTTTGCTAACTGGTGGCACCTCTAAAACACCTTTATGTTTCTTTGCCATCTTCAAAGCAGGAGAGCATGCCTCCTCAAATCTCACCAAAACTGGGTGGCAAAGAGCCACTGGAATTTAATCAAGTTGCTAACACTGAGATACCACTGCCACCTGGTGGCAGCATACCTAAATTACTGGGGGGCAATTGATTGTCAAGGGGAAGAGCTGCCAGCGTTTTACACATGCACAAGACACAAGTCCATGTGAATGTCATGGGAACGAAGGTCACCATCCACCACATGGCAAAAGGGCCAGCACGCTGCTAGGCATGTGTCAGCTCCTTGATGTCCCCAACTTAGGCTTCCTGGATGCTTTTTCAAAAAAATTTAACTGACTAAATCCAACCACCCTAAACAAACTGAACACTGCCATAACTGAGTGCAGACATCCACGTCTACACAAGAACTGCTAGAAACCCAGGGTTCCCCGATTCTGTACTTCCTTAATCAATTATTCGAACCTCACATGCACTCCTTGGCATTTGAACGTTTCAAGCTTCAACTTTTAAATCACCTTTACAGCCAAAGTCTCCCAAATTCCACCTTCCGTGCCCACTCTCTTAGTCATCCCTTGTTGCTATATAACGTTCACAGGTTTCCCAAGCACCGCCTTCTAGGTGTGCCCATAATACACCATTGAAGAAGATGCTGACCAGAGCAAGGCGGAAAGCACCGCTCTGTGGAATACCACTGAAGACGCCTTCTCCACTGACACTGATCTTGGCCACCTTTCAAAGGAGGCATCTCCCCACCTGTCAAGCAGGCAGTGTGTCTCCAAGTACATTCCACCCTGTCCTGAGCTAAGGAAAAAAGCGAGGCTGCCCATTAATGAGGACTCACATGTGAAACACCACGGAGAACAGAAGAGGTGGAGACTCCAAGCAGTCACTGTCCCTGGTGGTGAAAACAGTCTTCCTTCAGGTAGCCCCCCCACCCCCACCCCAGTTATGTGTCCTCCCTCTCGCCTGCTCTGGCATTTAACTCCCAGATGGCCCCCGACAGGTTGTGATGTATGCCCTGCCTGTCCGAGGACATGCTTGTACCTGGGCGCACAGAGAGCCAGACATCAGGGATGCTCTCCCTGTGGAAACAGACTCTTGGCAGCACCTGCTGATGCTGTGAGCAGGCGTGTGCCACCTTGCCATCCTAGCTGCCACCTGGCGCCTTCTGACTGACTCCGCTCAGAAACCTGTGGGCACTGGAAAGCTTGATGTGGGTCGTGCCTGGCCCCTGCTAGCCACGGTAGCCCAGCCTCCGGTGTGAGCCCCACCATTGCCACGTGTAAGACGGGAGCAGTGACAGTGCGCTCAGAAACCTGTGGGCACTGGAAAGCTTGATGTGGGTCGTGCCTGGCCCCTGCTAGCCACAGTAGCCCAGCCTCCGGTGTGAGCCCCACCATTGCCACGTGTAAGACGGGAGCAGTGACAGTGAGGACCTTAAGAGGCTGCAGCAAGGAGGCAATGGACACGATGAGCCTCACGCAGTTCCTGGCACCCTGCAGGAGCTCAATAAATGCTGGTTTCCCCTTCACAGCCCCAACTTGAGACGCGTGCTCAACTTCTGAGACTTGGCCCCACAGGCACGAAGAGAGAGCACTGGCAGCTGACAGGGACAGGAGGGCAGTGGCCCTCTGTGGAACCAGGAATGTCATTTTCCAGGGTTGTATTTCTGTCCCCCACCCCAGCAGTGGTGAGAGCCCCTCCAGAGGCATGAGAGGAATTCTGAGTGTTCCCTCGGTCCTCCCAACACGACACAGGGCATGAAGCCCGGCACGGGGCCAGCTGTTCCTCGCCCGCGGCTTTCCAGCTCACTGTAAAGATGACAGCTCATGACATACACTGGCCATGCCAGCCATACTCTGCTGGCTCTGCAGGGCCAAGGGCCTGTCATGGCTTGTTCTAAACTAAGAGATCAGACGGCAGGGAGAGGCAAGGCGAGAATGAGAAGCTGACTGTCCATGCTCCACACCCTGGTGCTAACGTCAGGGTTTCCAAAGCCTGAGCCTGGGGCAGAACTCAGGCTCCTCCTTGGGTGGCTGGGAAGGCCCTTCTCTGCCCCTGGGTCTTGAAAGTGACCAGTGATAGATTAACTGCCCTTTTAAGTGCCTGAAAGCTCTGAACCGTCCTGTGTAGAACTAGAACCAGGAAATTACGCCAGAAAGCCAGATGACTGAAAGGACGGGAAGACCATGCAAACAGGGCTTGGGTTTTTGAATCTCTGGCAAGTTCGCACTTTGCACAGCTTTCAGAAGTTGCTTTCAACCCAGCATCTTAAGCCTCAGAAATGCAGCCTCCCCTGGCCTCTCAGGCTCGCCTCATTCTGACAGCAAGCAGTTGTACGGTCCTTTTGGAAGCAAGAAGACAGCTGTAGGGCCCCTGAGCACAGCGGCCACCAGGGCGGGGTGCCGCAACAGTACTGCAGGGGGACAGGTAGAGGTGGCTGCCCCAATGGGCAACCATGTCAGGACTTACCTTCCACTGCAGAGAATGGAACCACTGGTCTCGCAGGTAGCTGTTGGCGGCCTGCAATGACAAGAACAGGACAGCGAGGTCCAGTCACTGAGTGCAGCATCTCAGCACCTTACAAGCCTACATGAGTCCCAGCCTGCAGTCTGATGAGACTTCTCTGAGACTTGCCAAGCTGAACCCAACATGTGCGAAACAAAAGAGAAGTGCTAACCAGGGGGGCTCTTCTGAAAATGAGACATCGCTGCCATCACGTGCTCATTTTGCAGGGACGAGTGACTTCAGACACTGCTGGCCAGAGATCTTTTAACTGCACAACATCTGACTTATTTAGGATCATGGGAGGGGCCGGAAGAACCGGTTCAAGGCAGGTGGTGACAATGGAGCAGGACTGCTCTCAGCGCCTGGCCTCTGTTGTCTATGCATTCTCTCGTCAGTCCTCACAACAGCCCCATGAGGTGGCTTCTATCACTGTGCCAGTTTCACAGAGGAAAAAATAGAGACCCTGAGATCTCACAACTAGTACACTGAAGCCCACGGCAGTCCAGCTTCCAAGCCTGTGTATTTAACCACAACACTCTCCTGCCAGTTGCAGAAAGTCATGGTACAAAGCACCTAGCCTTGAACTCAGGTAGATCTAGGTTGAAACTCAGAGTGGTGGGGTGGGGGAGGGCAAAACCTTCCCTGATCTATACCACACCAGTTTTGAGCCCTTGGGCAACTCAGCCTCAACTTTCCCATCTGTACAATGGGGACAACAGCCTTGATCTTGCAAGGCTATTGTGAGGACTGGGAATGATTCCCATAGAGCATCTAGACCATGTGTGGCACATGGCAGGGGGTCAAACAAAAAAGCAGCCCTTGTTCTTGTAGTTATCACTGCCATCACCAATTCCTCTCAAGTAAAACATGGCCTGAGGAGGCCCCTACAGTCTCTGCTGTGCACTGCTGCCGCCCTCACCTCTGTTTCCAGCAGATGTGCTAATGGCAGTGGCAATGCTGGCGGTGACACACACTAAGCCGTGCGAGTGGACTGGCTCATGGGGTCCTTGCAGGACAGTCCTGTGAAGCTGGCATTGTCAGCATCTCGTGGTACACATGAGGAAACAGAGACTCAGTTGGTTAAAACCTTTCCCCAGGGCTCACACAGGAGGTATAGGCCCAGGAACTGAGGCCAGGAGGTCCTACTCCTGGTGTAAACCATGATGTGGTGGTGTTCTGAGCTCTCCACTGGCCACCCCGGCAGAAATGCAGCATCCACTCCCCACCAGGCCCCCCAGCCCTCTGCTCCAAGTGTCCCTGACTCTGACAGTACAGCGACTCTCTGACAAAGGCCAGAGCCTCTCTCCAGGCACAAATGTCCACCTTCTGCCCCTAACACACACAGACACACCTGCATGTACAAGCAGGTACCACTTTAGTTCACCCTCACTCAAGAAGGTCCAGGTCTTGCTGTAGATGACCACCCCTCACCCCCAGATTATCTACAAAACATCAGCTGTTCTTCTGGGTCAGGGCCTGGAGACTCTCTGGGCTGGAAGAAAGGAAGCAGCTCAGTGGCTCTTGTGGGTGAGCTAGCTTGTGCCAAGCCCTGGATGGACTGGGCTGGAGGAGCACTCAGTGTGACACGGGGACCCCTGCAGTGGCTGAGCCTCCAAGAGACGTGGGTTCAGGTCCTGGCTCTGTTGTGGTCTAGCTGTGTGACCTCGAGCAAGTCGCCTGAGGACACAATGACGATGACACCTGCGGGGCTGCAGAGGCCAAGGAGGAAAAGTAGCCCCTGGACAGTGTTGCTGGGTGACCTCCCGTCAGCCCTGACAGAGCTTGTCTGGCCTTGTGACCACTCTGGTTCATTAGGATGACAAGATACATCCTGTGCTCAGGGAGAGCCGTGCGGAGATCCCAAACAATGAGATAATACATGGATAGTGCTTACTTAGCGCAGTGCCTGGCACGTGCGAATGCTCTACAAACAGTAGCTATCAGTATCAGCAGCAGCCTCGGCCAGTGGTGCACTGATAAATGTTTAACAACAGGCTCGCAACATCAGAAAGCCCGACCACAGCATGTGCCGACTCCTGTGAATAATCCCACCTCGGCTGATGCTGTGCCCTCAAGGGGATGTCCCTGAACCAGGGTTGGAAGGGGACGTGCGTGGTCAGCTCTCATGAGCAGGGTCGAGCCGGCATGAGCAGCTCCGGCACACCCCTGGTCCACAACAATTTCTATGCTTCTTAACACACCAAGGTGGCGGAGAGAGGGGGAGGTGTGGCAGGTAGAATAATGGCCCCAAAGATGTCCACATCCTAATCCCCTGTGATTATGTTATTTTACGTGGCAAAGGGATTTTGTAGATGTGACTTAAATTAGGGAAATTGAGATGAGGATATTATCCTGGATTATCCAGGTGGCCCAATGGAATTACAAGGATCCTTATAAGAGGGAGACAGAAGTGTAAGGGTCAGAGACAGAAGCAGAGGTCAGAGCGATGTGGCTGTGAGCCAAGGAATGCAGGCAGCCTCTAGAAGCTGGAAACAGCAAGGAAACAGACTCTCCCCACCAGAACCTTCAGAACAAACGCAGTCCTGCCAAAACCTCAGTTTTAACCCAGTGAGACTCGTGTTGGACTTCTGACCTCCAGGACTGTAAGAGACTACATTTGTATTATCTTAGCCACTCAGTTAGTGGTAATTTGTCAGAGCAGCAAGAGGAAACAAATAGGACCAGGTTGGTTTAGTGTCGATCGACATGAGCCGTTGGCTCTGAGGGTCCACAGCAGGCCTGGGCAGGGCCTGTACTGTGTCTCTGGGCAGACCGAATGGCCAAGCAAAGAGGGAAGAGGGAGGCAAAGGAGGAGAGGGAGAAGGACACCCTATGTCCCTCCCTCCTCTGCATCCACTGGCCCCACCACGCTGCCCTGCAAATATGTTCCCACAGGGGACCCTACAAGTGTTCTGCCTGCACCTTTCTCCAGGGCCTGGGACAGCAGACGACCAGGAGGTATTTACTAAATGAATGAACAAACAAAAGAGTGGACTGTGAGCTCCTCAAGGGTAGGGCCTTTAAATACCCAGCTCCGATCAGCAGCAGCTGGTTCTGTTAGGGTTGTTTACACGGGAAAGAATGAACATGTAAACAAAGGAAGAAACAGGGAAGCAAGCAGATGGTAACAGGTGGTAGACAGTGACCAGAAAGAGTCCCCCTTCCCCTGCCCCAGCAACTGCATCAAACCCAGCCCTCCCTCCCGGATGGCTGAGCCCAGCCCTTCCCATTCTGGAGGCCTCCCGGACCTCAAAGCATGTGAGCGAATCGCCCGGACTTGGCCAGTCAGAGGTTCTTGCCCAGAGGATGCAGACCAACTGCATCAAACCCAGCCCTCCCTCCCGGATGGCTGAGCCCAGCCCTTCCCATTCTGGAGGCCTCCCGGACCTTAAAGCATGTGAGCGAATCGCCCGGACTTGGCCAGTCAGAGGTTCTTGCCCAGAGGATGCAGAGATGGGTGGGGGAGAGCTGATTATGGGCAGGGGCTACGCCCTGCCCATGTCTTCCTATGAAGTTAGTTGTGGGGCTGCCTACTCCACACACCCATAGCCCCAGCAACCTCAGCTCTGGTGCATTTCCCAAGCCTCATCTCCAGGCTCCCATCAACCCTCCCAGTATGTTCCTTTCCTGCTTGAGACAGCCACAGTCCATTTCAGCTGCTTGCACGAGAGCCTTGATGGCTCCACACAGCCCACTGACCCATTATCCCTTCCTGAAAATGGATGTCCTGGTGCGTTTTCCCTGCAGCCCTGCTTCCTGAAGGAGCTGGCATTTCCATGACCAGCCCTCCCGGCACCTCCCAGGCCCCCAGAGCTCATCACCAGGTGGTTCTGGCCGGCCAGACCTGGATCTGTTTGCCCAGTGGCCACCGAGCTGTCAGGAGGGATGGCTCCATGGTCTCCTCTCCTGGACCCATTTGCTTAGTCTAGGCTCGTCCCCTGAGGTGTCCCACTGAGCTTCATGAGACCCCAGTCTCAGTTGGGTCCATGTGTCTTGCCTCTCACAGCAGCACTGGCTGTCTGGGGGGCCCTGTACTGTTGAGCACACACACTACATCCAGACACACCTTGACACCTCCTTCTCAGTCCTATCCTTTCGGTAGGACTAGCTAAGTTTTACAAGCCTTTTCTCCCATGGGACAGTGTAAACCCCTTCCCCAGCCATGCCTGGCTTCACAGCCATTTCCATTCCTCTCTCTGACTACCTTGACACCTCCTTCTCAGTCCTATCCTTTCGGTAGGACTAGCTAAGTTTTACAAGCCTTTTCTCCCATGGGATAGTGTAAACCCCTTCCCCAGCCATGCCTGGCTTCACAGCCATTTCCATTCCTCTCTCTGACTGTCTCTACTCTAGGAAGTCAGTGTGACATTCATGTGGTCAGCATGGGAAGAAGGCAGATTTGGGCTCAACGGAGCAGTCTGAGATCCGAGCTGTAAACAGCTTTGTGATTGTGGATCCCCATCTGTCATGCAGGCTTGGGAAACCGGCCTCTGAGACGGTGCATGTCAATTCCAACACCAGACCAATACTGGTCACCAGGTGCCAGGCATGGCCTCTCATCCTGGAGGCGTCCAATCTCACTGTCGAGGAAGCTGAGGCTAGGAGCAGAGGTGCCTGCCCCTGCCCCAGACCCCGCCCACAGTGCGGGCCCCATGCACCAATGCCTTGGCCAGGACCACCTCCCCCCTCTGCTCCCCTGCAACTTCTGGCTGTCGCCGCTTAGAGCCTTCACTCCATGCCCTGCGGTGGGCTGGGTGCTTATGTCCCACCCACAGGACTGGGATAGGAGGCAGGACCCAGGTAGGGTTAACTGCTACCTCCCCACCCCAATGGGCCTGGTGTTGAAAAACCCAGTTAGCTGAATGAATTAATTACATATAAGGCAAAGCACAGAGATGCCAGGCGACGACCAGACTCACCATGACCCCTCTTGCACCTCCTTCCAGGGAGGCAGAGACAGTGAAGTTCTCCCACCCCGAAGGGGCTCCTTATTTCCTAGGGAAGATTAGAAGGAA